ACAGCGAAGTGTTGAGCCCCAGCTGGACCAGTTTGTGAATGAGCTGTTGAGGGATGATTGTGTTGAATGCTGAACTGAAGTCTATGAACAGCATTCTGACGTATGAACAGCATTCTGACGTATGAGAACTTTCACAAACTCTAAAAACATTTACACATGTGTTAACCATTATACAGTATTTTTGTTGTTTACTTGTTTGATTTATGGCTGTTTAACAATAATGCAAGACTGTTGGGGGGAAAAAAATAGTACTGCCACAGCTCTGACTTCCATGCATCAATGGTGGAACACATGAACCTCACTCCTGGAAGAGCTGGTGTTTGTGGACCAAGAAAATGAGTAAACATTTTGATTTTTTTTTTTCTTTTGTTGAAAGACTCTAAAAATAGTTACATATGTATTCACTGTGCTCCCGTACTTCTGTTATTTTCTTGTTTGATTAATGGCTGCTTAGCATTAATGTAAAAATGTTAGAGAAAATGCCATTGCCATAGACTCAGACTTAACCACATTCTACTATTTTTATTTTCTTGTTTGAATAGTAGCTGTTTAACAAATGGAATAAAATTTTTTAATGTAGTATTCACAATAAAATATGTGGTAAATTAGAACACTCTTCTTTTTACTTTAGTCCACAAATGTGTTATTGTTTGTGATACGTGTGATTAAAACGTTTTATAGACGTTCAGGTCTGACTGGACCGATTTTGGACCTTTTTAGAACATTGGTCAAATTCAGATGTGCCTTTCACGATGTTGCACAATGGGTGTGTGATTATTTTATATGCAGGCTTATACTTAAATTATGCAGCAACACATCTTATAAACATCCAGAAGATGACACATTTAGACGTCCAGGGACGTGCAGAAAAGACGTGTAATTCGCGGACAGAAGACGTCAAAGACGTCGGTTCAATTTTAAGTTTGGATATATTTTTCAACCATGACGGGACGTGTCAGAGGGACGTCTTTTCAACGGTCATTAAACGTCCAAATGTTTGCTGGGGTGTCTGGCAACACGTTTCCCTTCTGCCTATCCGTTGTGTACAATTACATCACGGTCAAATGTAAGAGCATTGTTGCAGATTATGTCAATATTTGGCATTCCTAAGAATCATTCAGAGGGCTGAAGGTACAAACCTTACCTCTCATCTTTTCCAACAAGTCTTGAAACAGCTAAGAATTAAGCATAATATCTCTAGTGTGTATCATGCACAAAGCCAAGGAGCGTTGGAGAGATTTCATCAAACTTTGAAATCTCTCCTTCGTGCTTACTGTGTGCAGCTGGATAGAGACTGAGAGGAGCGTAACACACCGAGTAACACACACTTGCACGTTGTCCTCATTAGCGGCAACATGCTGCTCCAACAAGTTAACTTGATCTCCAAAAGTACTTACAGAATTCTGAATGCTGCACAAACTACTATGAATGGATTTTACATAAAAATGAGTCAGCATCACTCTTGATCTGTTGAATAGTAGTAGAAGGCATCCGTCTGTCTAGGGAGACAATGGTAGCACCCTGTCCTGTTTGTTCAGTTTTGTGGAGAGCAGCGTTTGATGTGGCTCAGCAGTCCGATTCTAGCCTGACAGTCTTTGCCACAGGTGTTACACACGAAATCGGACGGCTGGTAGGAGGTTTGGTTCTGCTGCCTCTGTTTCCTCCATTGTCGTTGCGGGTGTAAACAAACAATTAGCTGCTAACTTATTGAAAAACAATTCAATTTAATTACTTCTGAGTATATTATCATTTGTATTTTGCTGGACAAAAAAACTCAAATGTAATTTGTAATTAAATACTTTTGAGAGACATTATTTTGTATTTGAAATACTTAAGTAGGTAATTTTATTCTCAGATTATGGACTACTTGCACTGAGCCTTGTGACGCACTGACGTTTTGAAATAATACAGCTCAGTTATTTCCGGTTATGTATATTTACAATGGGCCGTAATCATCTAGTTGACTTAAATGCCTATTAAAATGATAGTCTGATGATTTCAAAATCCGGACATTTTCAGAGACAGGAGAAGAGATATTCTAATGATTACTGTATGCATAATTTTCCAAACTCAATGGAATGTGAAGTTTTAATCCAACATAAACCGATCTGATAAAGCAGTGGCTGGTAAACATATGTAATTGTTTCACCACAGGGTGTCAGTGCTCTAAACTAGTAATCGCGACGCTGCAGTGTATGTGAGATCTGATGAATTAAGGTTAGAATGATCCTTTATTTATCTGTATTAAATATGTTTAAAAAATATGTATGTAAATATGTCACTATTCTGTGTCATATTTCATTCACAGCCATTTCACTGTATGCAATGCCAAAATATGAATATTCAAAGTAGTGGCACTGTCAATGCGTTACTGTTAAAAATGAATTAAATGTTTAACATCGTTAAATTTATTTAAGGCAGTTGCCACACATTCATTCAACCATTTTAAACATTGGAATAGGAGCACCAACGCACACAAGCAATAATGCTCTTACGAAAATCAGCCATGGTTCTACTACAAAAAAAAAACAAAAAAAATTGTGATTGTAGTTAAACCATAATAAATAACAAATAAACCCAGGTTTTGCTACATTAACCATAGTTTAACCATAGTGTTTAAATTTGGTTATACAAAAAAAAAAACATGGTTACTACACTATTACTATAGTAAAACCATGGTTATATTTCATAAGGGTGTTTATCAGTCAAATTCAATTAAAACTGTAAATTCAACAGGTATGAAATATGATCAGTAAGAGAAAAATGTGAAGCGCTGGACCTCGGCAGGTTAGTTGGGAAATATATTTATTTATTATTCAGAATGCTGATTTGGAAGAGTAATATATTCAAAGGAACATTTCAGCAAGTTGAAGATAATTCATGGTAACACAGAATATGACATAAATTATTTTTTTTTAAATTGCCAGCCCTAAAACGTAGTAATAATCTGCTTTCTCGTGAGAAACAGTAGTGCCAGGGAACTGGAGAGAGATGAGGCGAGGGCTCAAATGCAGGAAGTCTGGGCTCTTTATTAATGATAAAAACAAAACTAACAAAAACCACCCCAAGGGGGAAAAACAGACAGGAAGGCCAGAAACAAGACAACACATTCACAAGAAACTCGGACATTAAACAACGAAACAGCACAGGACTGCAGACACAAGGAGAATAAATAGGGAGACAAACGAGGAGGGTAATGAGGGAGACACAGGTGGAGGCAGCGCAGGCAGAGCTCCTGACCACCATGGCTGAGCAGATCCACTGGCCGGAGTAGGCTCTGGAGCAGAATCGTGAACTGGTGTGGATCCTTAGAGTGGACTCTGAAGGCTCCTGGACTGGAGCAGGTTCTTGAGTGGACTCTGAAGGCTTCCGGACTGGAGCAGGTTCTTGAGCGGACTCTGAGAGCTCTTGGACTGGAGCAGGCTCTGGAGTGGACTCTGAAGTCTCCTGGACTGGAGCAGGTTCTTGAGTGGACTCTGAAGGCTCCTAGGAAGCCAGAGCAAACTCTGAAGCGGCCCATGCCCGTAGAACAGCCCTGAGGTGAAAGGCGAAGACAGCCTTCTTGACGATGGCAGCAGCGAAATCGGGTGGCTCTGTAGCAGCCTCCATGGCCGAGATAAGGAGAGCGGGTCGCTCAGTGATGGCCTTCGTGGCGGCAGCAGTGAAATCGGGCAGCTCTGTAGCGGCCTCCATGGCCGAGACAAGGAGAGTGGGCTGCTCAGTGACCTCAGAAGCCACCGAATATAGGACCACCTGAGTCAGGTCCTCCAGGGCCACCGGACAAGGGACCACCGGAGCTGGGTCCTCCAGGACCTCCAGGACTAGGGACCACTGCAGTGATGCCAGCTGCTCGCACTAACAATAGAGGTGGGTCCGCCAAACTGGAAACTAGTCCCAAACCCCTTGGGCCCCCCTTGGGCCCCCCTTGTGAAGGGGTTCCAGACTGGCAGCCATCTTGTGGAGAAGCTCTGGAAAGGCAGCCATGAAGAGAAGAGACTCTGGAGTGGTGGCCATGACAGAACGAGACACTGGAGTGGCAGCCATGACGGGACGATACACTGGAGTGGCGGCCATGTTATGAAGAGGCACCACATGAGAAGGTACATCTAGCTCCAGAACTGATTGTCTTTCCCTGTTGGCAAGAAAGTCCACAAACGGCCCAAAAGCCAGGTGCTCTGTGCCGAACCTCCTCCAGGTGCTGATGGACTCATTAAGGGCATAGTTGAACAGGCCCTTGAGAGCCGCATCATTGTAGTCCAGCCCCTCAGCAGCACTCCTGAACTCCATGGCAAATTCCCTCAGGTCAGTCCCCTGTTGACGGAGGGAACTTAACCTCCTAGGGTCTGCAAAGGTGCCGGCGGGAGCGCTTGCATTTTTTCCTGATAACAGTGAAGAGAACTTAAAATGCTCCATCATTTTTGATCGTGCACATAAGTGTAATACATCATTTGAATCTGTGAAGGGTCTACTTTCATTTGTGTACATTCACAAAAGCAACAGAATATTTTGCTTTTGTATAATAAAGAAAATAATCAGGGTGCGCTTTCAGCCGTCTCAGTCTCCACGAATAGCTTTCTGAAACTTGTCACTAAAATGAACCCAAACTCAGTGAATATTTGACACACAGACATGAGAAATATATCTATGGAAAGCTTGAAGAGTCTACTTTTAAATGAAGTAAGTCTTATCGAAAACAAATATTACGTGATAAAGTAATCCGTATGAAACCTACGCGAGGTCCAGTTTTTCCCATCTGAGCTCATTATCTGTAATGTGACCATGCCCACGCTCACACTCTTCATATGATAATCATCCACGTGAGACGTGCGCACATATAACATCACCTCCATAAACAAAGAAGCAAGATTCATCAAGTTAATTTCGGCAAGTTTTCGTTCCTGGAAGAAGACGCGCTGTGAGGAATAAGCCAGAATTTACCTCAGAAGAAGAACACGATGTGACGCGCGGCTCAAGCAGCGGAGGAGATCCTTTTTTGATGAGTAAGTCATTGTTTATTACTTGCATTAGTTGTTACTGTGTTATTGTGACATAACTTGAACACATTTTACTAGTTAGACTTTTCCCAAACTATAATTCTCTACTAAATGTATGAAATCAAGTGAAACATTTTGGAATATGTTTCATTTTATTGCATCTAAATGTCTCACGACACCAGGAAGTTTTTAATGTTCTATAAAACATAAAACAATACGATATAAAAGTAATACGGAAGTTTACACTGTAACTCTGTGAATGTTAGAGTCTAAGAATGTTTAGACCAATCTTTACTATTAAATAATCTGTTCATGAATATATGTAGATGTTTATAACGTGCTTAATAATTTAGTTTCTCAGATATAAAATGTTTTTGTATTGTATAATTCATACAAAGCATGCTTGTGTTTATGACTACAAAATCATGTTTTTTTTTTATAATTTTTTTTTTATGAGTGGGCAATATTAGTGATTGCTAATGTAAAAAATATAGTTGCTCCTGGTATAAACATGCTAATAGATGTGCTTTTTTTTTTTTTTTAGGTGATCAGATACCTTGAAGACTTTACTTAAAACTGTTTTTCTAATCAGGGTCGGCCTTACCCATTAGGCAAAGGTAGGCGACCGCCTTGGGCCCCCTAAAATGATTTTCATATAGGCTACAAAATGTGCATTAAGAGCTGACATGCGAACGGTTGCTGTTTATGGTGTTTATTACCATGATAACCGTCTGCGTATCTGAGTTGAATGTGCTTCTTGTGTATCCTGCTTGTAGCAAATGAAAAAATCATGCATCTCAAGCTGTAATTAAATACTGAGAAACAGTGCGTATTATATGTTTATTGTTTTACATCCTGCTCATTGATGAGAAGGAACCAAGTAAAGGACACATACACAGCTACATTTTTGGTTGATATAATTCTATAATTTTTTTTATTTTCATTTTTTTCAGTTTCATTTAAATTTGTAGTTAAAATTACTACAGATAAATGCATTTTAACGTTTAGAATTAGACAGCCTTTGGAGTGTGTAGGCAATTGTGCAGAGCACAGGCACACAGCATTGGTCATCAGTGGACTTTCCTTGTCAATATAGGCTATATTTTTAAAAACTTTTCTTATTCTCACTAATTCAGGTTTTTATATCTCTGAAGGGAACCGAATGTCTTCAGAAATGTTTCGATGGCATTTTCATTCTATCTGACAAAGTAACATTTATGAGCTGAGCACTGCTTTGTTTACAGCCGTTACTGGGAAAACCTATTGATCTAGGTAAATGTGTGCAAATGTATAGGGCCCCATTCCTGTATTTTGCATGGGGCCCCCAATTCACTAAATCCGCCCCCTGTTTCTGAGAGTGCTGTACCAACATCAGAAGCTA